AGTGGAGAAGGACCTGGCTTCACTTGGAATATCTAATTGGCGCCACGTAGCGAAAAGAAGAAACGACTGGCGCGCTGTTGTTAACTCGACTATAATCGCGTAAGCGGTGTCTACGTCAATCAAGAAGAAGAATTTATTTGACCTTTCAATGCCCAATAAAAGGATTTAAGCTTGTTAGCTCTCAATCATTAAATGCTTTTAGTAATTTTCCATTGAAAAAAATACTCTGATGCTTCAAATTACAAAATCTTTCATCAAATACCTTTACAATTCACAAATTTATTTACTTTTCATTGTTTTACATTTTCAAAACCTCCTGAACTCGATCAACTGTCAAAGGTTAGGTGGTTTTGACGTTTAGCAATTGTTCTCTCACTTCTAGTGAGAGAGGAGTTAAACCATGGATAATATGATACGAGACTCTTTGATTTGAAAGAGAGCTGTCGAAACTCGCATTTTTTATAACACTTGCCAATGATGCCCCCGTTGGAAAATATTAGATTGGGTATTTAATAAATTATACAAAACAGTACATTAAACACTTTGAAAATTCATACATATATAAATGCTAAAATGYAAAATCATTAATTAATTTACATAAAAATTTATTTTGCCAAAATATGTTCTCACAGTTCAATGAAACTTCATTTCACACTAATTTCGTCAGGTAATTATAGCGGTTTATTTCTTGCATCCCGTCTTTTCTGAAATCAACTGTCAGAAATTCCCTGATCTCCATCGCTGTCAAATAATCAGGGTACGCGTTTGAGAAAAAAAGAGAGCGAATGTTAAAGTCTCGTATCATATTATCTATGGTTAAACATCTCATTATCTCTGATATATATCCTGCGCGCTAAGGTCAAGTCGGCACTGACGTGATACGACGAGCTTGCGGATTAAATATTTTCGGTACTAACTTCCCTTTTTAACATCGGCATACATTTTATATTAAAGTAATATGTACGCAACGCACATCAAATTAAATAAATTGTACTATTATAACTGAACAAGATTCGGACTTTTTCTTTTAAACAATTATATTGTGTACATATGTGGTTAGTATTATTATTAAATTATTCATGGTCCTTCAAGCCTCACAGAAAGGCACTAGTGGAGAAACAAAACCACAAAACACATATAAATATATCTGTGCTGTGAATAAAAAAAAAACAACAGGGCAGTCACCCAGCCAAAAAACAAAACAATATAAATAAAAAACAACATACCCATATACGTATATACATATATATATACATAATAACCAAAAAAAATCAACAAAAGGTGCATTTAAAAGACTAAGCTACTAAGCAAAACACGGTGAAGTGACAAWAATAATGCTCATTTAAGACACAAAACAAAAAATCAAGTGTAGTGACTCAGTAAAAATATACGAAAACATGAAGTAACAAAAACTGCGGTGATAAAACATAAACTTACAGAAACAAGATATACTAAACTTTACAAACACAAAAAACATAAATCGGGCGCGAAATGTGGGGTTGCCTAAACAATAAAATACACACAAAAGCCAAACAATCGGGCGCGAACAAAAAATAGCTATTAAAAACCAAAAATAGAAGGTGTACCTGAAAGTGGCTGCAAACCTTAAGGAGAAAAGGAGTGGCGAAAGGAAGAGGAACAAAACGCAGACGGCATAAAGACAATATATGCACTTGCATATATACACCTACACAGCTCTTGAAGTAACTAAGTGAGCGTATTTAATCCATTTTCCATATTTAATAATATGCATATATAATCCTTGCCAACCACGGCTACCCGCTTGAGTCAAATATTTCAATAGAACTACACATTTTTTCTCTATGCACTAACACCAACGCACATTTTCGGGTTATTTTTTGATTACCTAAATACGATGAAAAAAGTTTCTTCCATTTCTTGATTTATTTGAATGAGTGGGAAGAAGAAAACATAATTGTCAATAGTGCCAAAAGAAAATCCCAAAAAGGGTAATAAAAAACGCGGTATAATTGCGAGCCATTTGCAATTCTAGCGGGAAGAAGAAAGGTAAGTGAACAAATTTGCATATTTTAAATATATTTTAAATTAATAACTTCATGCCATTACAGCATTAAATTAAAGTACATATTTTATCAAAAAAGTAAGTCAACATTTTGAAATAATTATAAATACATTTAATTAATTCCTATTTCTCTCTTTAGAAATCATCAATAGGTCTTCAAGCAGTAGAAGCAGAACAATTTTTATTTGTGAGTTTTTTGTTAAATTTTATACATATATTATTGTACATATACTAAGTACCTTTTAATTGAATGACCAGTGCGATTGGTCCTAATATTTTAATTTATAAAAATAACTATTGTGTTTAACAAGTGCGTGCTGTTAACAAATATTCGTATTGTATTATGTTCTTTCGGCCTGTGCAGTG